AGGCACCTCACATAAGAGGACTTATGTAATGTTTCTTCTTCTATTTCTGGATTGTTTTACTAAGCATAATGTTTTCAAAGTCCATCCATATTGTAGCATGTATCACAATTTCATGACATTTTTGTGGTTTAATAATATTCCTTCATTTATATATGCCATGTTTTGTTTATCCATTCATCTGTAGATGGACCCTTAAGTAGTCTTCACCTTTTGGTCATTGTGAATAATGTTCTATAAACATTAGTAATACAAACGTCTGTTTGAATGCTTGCATTATTTTTGGATATATATTTAAGAGTGGAATTACTGGGTCGTATGATAGTTCTATGTTTAAAAATGTAAGTTCTTCCCCCTCCCCCCGCCCTGGTTCTAATACTTGTAGCAATACCAAGCAAGGCCAACTTTTCATGATCTGAATATGCTTTAAGCATTTAAAAATAGCTATTTTTGTCCTTCCTAAACCTTATTTTGTCTAATCTGAACGCGATACAACTTCTGGGTGGGAACCCAAGTGTAAGATTTTATATGGACCCTTTCTATACTTCACTTCATTACCTTCATCAATTAGTTCATTCTTCGGGGATATCCAAATATTTATTCTGGGATCTAATTCATTAGATACCTCTCCCAAGTTTATGTCTTCCTACCTTCAAAATACACTGAGAAGACACTTAAGAATCATAAAAGCAGAAATCATCTTAACTTTCCAGTTCATGCATAATCAAAAAGAGGATGATGAAGATAAAATTATTCAGTCCATTTCTTAAATTTCTCATGTGGATCCATTAGAAGTGTTTATATTTTTATTTTATTAATCTTTAGGAAGAATTATTTTTGAGATTGTGCTAGTTGACCTGAATATTGACCACAATGTAGAACTTCCTTGCACATAGTAGAGGTTCAATAAAGGCTCGTTATAAGAATGGAAACATGGGCCTTTCTGAACCTGCAGATGTTTTTATTGAGACCAGATCTCTCCATTTTAAAGGTCACTGTGATTATTGGAGGGCTGCTCTTATGCCCATAACCTTGACATCAATTGTTTCCATGACTGGAATTCTGCTGAAAATAAATGTAGGTTACGTCTGAGTTCAGCTTATTGTGATAGTCAAAGAAGACAAAGTGATAGTCTGCCTATCTTTATAAATTACTTAGCCATTAAAGCTCAGATAAGAATATTCACATAAAATATTTATATCCCCTAAAATCCCAATGTGGAAAAAACCTTTTCTTAAATATCCTTCTGGGATCTTCTTTCAAAACAGTTGTCTGGTCATTGGTGCATATATATTTGTGGTGCATTAATCTTACAGAATGCCTATGCAGTGGGTTGACCAGAAAATGTTTTAATTAAAGGGTATAGCTCCTGGTTGAGTGTTTCTTGTATGTGTATTGAAGAAGAACATTTTGGGGTGGGGGGAATTAAATTGATGTGAAAACTTCTTATTGATTTTTTTGTCATGTGGGGAAATTTTCAAACTTGCTGCAGATATTATTTCATACATTCTGTTCACACTATGGTTATTCTCATTTCTGAAAGGATTATATTCCAATTACTTCTTTTACTCTTTTAATTTAACCTCACATATTTATAATATTTTTAGAAACATTAATAGAATAACTTTTTTGAGAATAGGATAGATCTTTTGGTTTACAAGCCATTGTAGGTCTTAAATATCATATGTAGCAAACTGAAAAATCACTAATATCACTGCAATTTGCAAGTGATTTACATTTGCAGAACTGTGACAAGCTCAAAAAAAAGGAACAGTGCATATGGAAGAAACATTTCAATCATTCAAATAAGTAAATCTCGGTTCTACTGCTTCTTTTCCTTTTGAAGTTTTTTATTGTTGTTCAGTTACAGTTGTCCCCATTTTCCCCCCATTGCTCTCCTCTGACCTACCCACCCCACTTCCCACCTTCAATCCCCCCCCAGCCCTGTGTCTCTGTCCATGGGTCCTTCATACATGTTCCTTAACTTGACCCTGTCCCTTCTTTCCCCCACTTTTTTATCACAAAGTACCTACACTGATTTGGGATAAGATGAGTCATCCTGTGTTAATTTTTATTAAAAAGATTGTGAGGAAAGTGACCAGTGAAGTGACCCTCCCATCTTGCTGATAGAATTCAACTTTAATTTCCCATTGCACCTGTCCCCTGATAATGAAATTATTGTTGGGATATGAATCAAGTTTGATCTTTCTTTCTCTGCATAACAGCTCAGTGATTCATATATGTAACACACACACACAATTAGGACACAGCTATTTTCTCGGTGGTGACAAAGGGTGGAATGTTGGGTATTTTGCACTGTACCTTCTTTCTCTCTTTCTCATCCCCACCATCCCATAATCACTACCCTTTTCAACTGAAAAGTCAGATGAAGAAAAAGAAACAGCACAAATATAAGGGGAAAAGCCAATTATTTTACTTATTTTCCTCATTGGAAATAGCTGAGAGCACTGTTAACCATTTCCTACGGCTTGTTTTGCAAGTGATTAACTAACTGCCTTTACTAAATTCTATCCTCTAAAGTCAGTGATTTTCAACTGGTGGGCTGCGAGAATTTTTAAAACATGTACTGCCCGACTACTTAGTCAGGGGTATTGACCTCTTTTCCCTTATCCTGTCAAATAAAAAAATTACAATAGCTAACACAACAATAAAGAGCCAGTGTAAATGAATCCAAATTATACATATTTTTGTCAGGTTAACAAAAAGCATATTTTTTTTGTTGTGCTGCAGAATTTTAGGAATTAGTTGATGTGTGCCAAGAGATGAAAACAGTTGAAAATCGCTGCTCAGGATTCTGATGAAAATGTTTTCATTGAAAGAACTGCAGTAACATATTTCGTGTGTTTGAATTGAGTCTCCTCTTTCTCCCTCCATCCCTCCAGCTATAACAATGGCCACTTGTCCAGGATGTCTATTAGCTAAAAGTTGGATTAAAGATATTTTTTAGAATAGTTTCCTTCTTTGTGACAATGGGAGCAATTGGAACAGATTAAGATTAAACGGCATTGGAAGAGCTGGGTTAGTTTGATGAACAGAAAGCTAGAGTAGAGTTGATTTCCTGGCACTGTTTCCCTAGCAAAGAGAACAATTTTAATCAGTGACAAAAATATTTGGGATCCATATGTTTCTCTCTGCTCATTCCCATATGCCCGTATTCGCTTTTATCTTGGTAGATGATGACTTTATGATTCAGGCATGCAAGAATAATACCTCGCTGGCTTCAGAGCTCAGTGCTATTTCAAAACATGTCCTGGTAATTACGCACACACATATATCCAGGCTGTTCACGCTTTGAGTTGGTTGAGTGGATATCAGTTTGTTCTTTCTCTTTCTCCATGGGAAGAAATATATCTTGCATCCACCTACAGGGGCTGGAATAATGCGACTAGGTTTAGATTTGAAAACTGTGTTGACATCCGCCTCTTGGATTAAAGGCCACTGTACAAATATGAGGATCAAGGAAAGGAGGCAAAAGGGTTGTGATGACCATTGACAACTTCATTTCCTTTGGGAAAAGGAAACGGAATTCAAAAAGCATTTGGTCATTCCATCCATTACTGGTGCCTACTCTAAGACATGTTAGATAATGGCTGGTTACTTAAGTAGATTCTGATTTTAAGCTGTGTTGACTTCTATTTCATATCGAGTGTTAGTCATAGTAGTTATGGTGAAACTGGTCAAAGTAGGAAAATTAAAATTACTGTCAATGAACCGTTTTTGTTCTAAATACATATTTGCTTATCTCTCAATGAGCTATATACTTTTTAACAACAAAAGAAACATATTTCAAAGACAAATTGTCCATTTGAATAAAACGTGGATAAAGCTGGAAGTGACTGACTGTCTAAGCGATTGCATTTTTAAAAGTTGTTTTTCTCTCCCACAACAAATGGCGTTGTAACCCAATAGGCTGTTAACATAGCCACAGTGAAATCCTGTGAGGACCAGCTGTGCTCATTTAAACTTGGGAGGGGGCAACGAGGAGGAGGCAGAGAGGGTTTCTGAACTTCAGACTGCATAACTGAGATGCATTTATTGTTTTCAGAGATGGGTACATGATGGAAGAGGCGTGTGTGCCGTTGGAGTTAGCAGGTGTGCAGCAGAGCAGAATTGCAGCGAAAGGAGACGGATGCAGCTTGGTTTTGGCAAATGCTATTAGTGATCCATCTCTGTGTTTGCATTCAAGCTGTCTTTGCCACTGCTCCTGTAGGAGTGGTGAGAAAAAGAAAGTACACATTATAGCATGAATTGTTTTCAACAAGCTTGAAGTTTGCAAATCTGTTGAATCCCTCTGACAGCGTGTCTTTGCTGTCAAACAGAATGCCCAGCTGGTGGTGGCAATCCTGCTGGGGAGGGAGGGGTTCAGAGAGACTTGTGTTCACCCTGCAACAAGAACATTAGGGATGCTTCCTCCCAACCTGTAAGTGGAGAGGAAAGAGCTGTCAGACATGCCGATTAGAACCTGCTCTGTTTTACTTTACAGATAATGCCTCATTAAATCGAAATCTTTACATATGCTTCATTAGGATCACTTTCGTAAAGAAAGGAGTCAGAAACAACATTAAGGTGTATTATATGAATCTATAAGGAAGACAAAGGCTTTAGTTTAAAAAAGAGGCAAGACTTTTGCTCATAGGTGATCCAGATTCTCATTGAGGCAAACACACAAGCTCTTTTTTTTTTTAAATATAAAGTGAGAGATTTCACTAAAAAAGGTTAAAATTGAAGTGAGTAATCTTCAGTGCATAATGCAATTGTTAATTTTAGCTCCTTGCGTGGGTGCCGTTCTGACTTGAACAGCCGGCTGCAGCCTTCATTAGAGAAGAAGCAGGCAGCTTGAGACAGGTGGAGCTGGATCAAGCTGTGAACGTGATTTTGCTGGAAGCTGGTCATTAGTGTTAGAAACCTGGTCTTATTTCTTTCGTCCTTCACCCTACCATGATTATTGCAGTTCTTACTATTGACATTTCATCTTTTTTCAGGTTGACGATGTGTCAAACTGTGTAAGGGAATCGCATGGACATGGGCATTCCGAACTGTTAATGGGGACATGGGACTCCAGTTACCTCTGATCACTTGTGTGGATTTTCCCGGTGTAGAACGACAGAAGCTGCTTAGTGAGTCGCCAAGACCTACAGCAGGGATTCTGCATAAAAGGTAAAAAGTCTTGTTGCCTGGCAGTCATCTCATCTGTATTTTTTATTGTTATATAAATGTGCCTGTTTGCATAGAGCAGTTCATTAGATGTAAACAAAACAGACAGGGTCTGTATTAGAGACTCAGCTGGCTTCTCATTTGTACAATTGAACTCAACATGTTCATTCCATTTTCCATTTTAAATCTGGTCGCGATCTGTTTTTTATTGAAATGCTCTGAAAAAAAGTTTTGGGCAACAGAAGTCCCGTCTCCTCCCTCTCGTACATTGAGAAACACGCTGTTTGCTATTGGCAAACAGAACTTTTTATTTTGTTTAACTACATACATACCCAATTTCACGGGAAGAAGAGAAAGATGTCAAAATACGCTGGATGGAACCGCCTAAAACCTCCCCAAACCTAAAGCATTGCTCATTAGTCACTCACAGACTCAAACTACCATCCTTTAAGAAAACTTTTCCATTTTCATTCCCACAATCCTTTGCCAAACGAGCCTTTTAAAGATATCATTAGATAGATACCATCTGTCCTGTCACGGTGGATCTTAGGAAATTTGCAATAGAAATTGCCGTGTTTTAGCTTTTTCTCATATTTCCTATATCCTGTTGTAAATGAAGATACTGAATTAGCAAATGGTAATTAAACACTCCCAAAGGGACATTTCAAAACACTGATTTGTCCAATAATAATTACCCTTGTAATGACTGGGAACAGAGCAGTCGCTACTTGGGAATTTTGTGAAAAAATAAATAAATAAATAAATAAAACAAAACAAAACCCTGACTTTCTAGGCTACAATGTTTTTGTCTCTCTTTTTCTTTTTCCTTCCTTCCCCTATTTTTCTTCCTTCCTTCCTTCCTTTCTTTCTTTCCTTCCTTCCCTCCCTTTTCCCTCACATTTTAAAAAAAGACACTGAGGAGAAAGTAAATGCTAAATTATTCATGAGCCCCATTTGACAGCCTATCAGGAGGGAAAGTGTCAGGGGTTGGAGAAAAATGAATAAATAACAAACAAGCTTGAACTCTGAAAGCCATCCCTCATGTCTGTGCAATAGTGCGTTGTGAGCCCAGAGTAGCTCAGTTCGGTGGGATAACTTCCTCGGAGCTGCTGCCAGAGACTTGCTTCCAGAGATCCCTGCAGTAGCAGCTTGGGAGAGGGCTTCGGCTTCGAATGAGGTTGCTGTCCGTTTGCAGGCTGAAAGCCTTGGCTCTGAAAGGTTTATTGCCCAACTCAGAGCCTGTATTTATACTGGATTATTACCCCTTCGATTAATTTTTTGCCCCTTGTAGTGTGCATTGTGTTCCTCATACCTAGAAAAGTGTGTCTATGGTTAAAACTGGTGGATGATTTTTGAGTTGTCCTAAAGCTGCTACAGAACACCAGTACCACCTCTTGACTCAGCCGTGCAGGGGCCATCTGTTCAAGAGTTGGGGAAATACTCTTTTTCTTTTCCTGCTACGTTGTAGTGCGGCCCAGGGACTGTTAGATGTGTGCATGTATCTTCGTTTACTTGTTTACCCATGTTGATAGCAAGGTGTGTTCACAAGTGTCTGTATTTATGGGGGTGTGGAGAGGGCGACCGAATCTGCCTCTCGTGCTTGCCTTGACTACTTGATGTGATCTCGTTTTATTCTCCTTTTGTATAAAATTAACAGAGATGCCCAGGCTGCTCATTTGAATTTGATGTAAGGGGAGAAATGCAACATCTCAAAAATCATGGTAAATACTTCACCTGGCTCTAACTTTGCTTTCTGACATTGTGACCTTGCAGGGCATCAAACCTTGCTATTTTAATTTGCGTCTGAAAGAATGTCTGAGCCAGGGGACCCGAACCAGGCCATAGTGGAGGAAGGCGGGACTGAGCAAGAAAGGGCCACTCCAGAGAATGGCATTGTTAAGTCAGAGAGTCTGGATGAAGAAGAGAAGCTGGAACTGCAGGTAAGCCCGGGGAAAAAACTATTTCTCAGACCACTGCATGCGGTTCCTTCTTTTCATTGTGAAGCTACTCTGAAGGTGTATTTAAGAAAAAAAAACAGTTCGACTAGTAAAATGAATAGGAAATCTGTAAAGGTAATCCTTTTTTTCTGACTAAATTGTGCTTAAAAATGCCCTTTGAAATGAAAAATTATCCAAAGAACATACTTAATGACTAAATTTGCACACAGCTTCTCCATACTAATTTCTAGGCCACCTCAAGGGGTTTGTGGAAGGCTTTTCCCAAGGCAGCCATAGGTGAGCTGAGTTTTAAAAATGGATTTGCTATTCCAGGGGAAGGTGAAGACTCCTCTCATGACAGACTAGAAAAAGTCAAAGATGTAAACTCTGTAGATCTTCCTAGGCAGGCTAAGGTTTGATTCTTACTGGAAAACAAACTAAGCCCTAGAATTCTCAACCAGAGATGGAGAGAGAGAAACAGAGAGAGAGAAAACTACAAGGAGGAGGGGGGAGATTGGACGTGAGGGTGATTGACAATACTGGAAAAGTGGCATGATTAAATACATCATGCGTTATGTGGTGGGGGGGGAGATTTAGTAGAGGAAAAGCAAAGCGTAGTTGCAAATAGCTTGTATGGATTTTCTTTGAACCAAACTACAAAAATGTTAACTCTTTTTTATAGACTAGTAAGCAAAGGCAGATAACCACACAATGGCCTTCAAGGTTGGCTTTTCTTCTCTCTAATAGCTTCTAAAGGAGAGAAGGCTACAAGTTCAATGGTCATTTGGGGGAACAAGGAAGGGAGAGTCCTCCCAGTACTTAGAATGGCTTTGTTGCTGTTACTGTTGATTTCCCTGCTATAGTGACACATTTTGCCTCTCTTTCTCCTCTTCTTTCTCTGGTTGTTATTTACTGTTTGTTTGTTTTGTTTTGCTTTGTTTTATTTCTAACATACAGAGGCGACTGGCGGCTCAGAACCAAGAGAGAAGAAAGTCAAAGGTAGGGTTCTAGAGGGTCTATGTAGACCTGGTATCATGGACATCAATTGCATGTTTCACAATCTGAGTTCAAGGATTTGCCAACAATTCAGAGGTCTCTGTGGAGCTACTGTGCTGGATTTGGGCTGTACTGGTGCTCTCTGCTTTTAATGGGGTTGTGTTCACCTCTGCCTACCCTTCTCCTGCTGAATGCTTTTTCACAGGAGCATTTGGGTTCGCAAATCTGCAAACGTCCGGGTGTCATCCGCAGCCACACGTGCAGATTTGTCAGTGCTTTACAAAACGAACAGCTGCTTGTTTTGTTTTCACTGTAAGCTAAATCTGGGGTGAATGTTTGTCTCCCAATTGATTTCGGCTTTGAGGTAAACAGAGGCTGGTGTTCCGGACACGTTATCATCCGTTTTAAGCATCTTCTCAGTTAAGTCGCTTCCAAGCTTCATTTTAGCAGACATTATTTTCTGCCACCTTTTCCTTCTGGCATTTTCGTGAAACGGCAGCAGCCCGACACGGTGGGCACGATTTGCTGAAAGCATTCCTCAGATCCATCCACTCACACCCGCCTCAGCTTTGTCCCCATCAACACGGGGACCCGATGCTTTGAGCCAATGTAGTCAGCCCTGAGCGGCTCATCTGAAGCTCAGTTTTCAGGTCTGATTTGGGGTTGTCAGGTGAAGGTGGAGATGCTATGACGGCCTGAGGATGTTTTCTGTTTGCTTTCTTTATTTTCTTTTCTGCCCCTCTTCTTTCCCCTTCCAAGTCAGGAGCGGGTAAAGGTAAACTGACGCGCAGTCTCGCTGTCTGTGAAGAATCCTCGGCCAGACCCGGAGGGGAGAATCTGCAGGATCAGGTACATCCCCCTGTTACTACCGTTACCTGCATGGAGGGGGACCCGACTGTGTGTGCATGGGTAGTAATCTGGCTTTGGACAGTGCGTTGGGGGAGAGAGAAAAAACGTAACAGGAGAAAGAAATCACTTTCTGCTTTTATCCCCTGCTTATGAGACATGCTAAACTAGTATCGCAGTTTGTCACAGAGTATTACGTTTGCTTTTTTTCCAGACCCTCTGAAAACTGCAAATGGAAAGGAATTCAAAAGAATTTAGATTAAAGTCTAAAAAGTAAGCCCGGTAGTGCTGAATTCCCTCAAAGGCTCTCTGTTGATAAGACTGAACCAAATATAGCCCTAAATGCCCTTCCTTATGGAAGATTCTTACCTCTTACCCCCACCCCTGCAAACTACATTTGCCTATAAGAAACATAAGAGTGAAAAAAATGCATCGAGTTTTGCAGAAATACTTCTATGGCCTTTAGTGGAGATGTCTCAATACTGGAAAAATTATTCAGAAATGAATCCGAGCTGAGGGTGAATTTCAGTTAATATTATTAATATGTTGCTGCTTATCCTTAGAGTAATTGTTGCTAACTTACAGCAGGACTATTAGGTTTGAACAATGGAAATTCCAACAAAACCCTTTTGTGACAAAGTGGGAAACTTCACATTATATTTATTTAGGCTTGCCTTTTAGGGCATCATATTAGCTTTTATTAAAATAGTCTTGCTGCTGCTATTTCCCTTATTTTATCAGAGAACGGGAGCAGTCAAGACGAATGCAAAATGATTTATCTGAGCCCAGGGGAGGGAAAATTGATTTAAGATATCATTATTTTTTGTTGGGTCTTGTTTGCTTTTTCTTTTTGTTACTTTAATTGAAATACTCTAAATTCTCCTCATGGTTACAGAGAGCATTGAGAGCACTTTCTTTAAAAGGACCAAAAACAAATCCCTTATAGATTTTGTCCTAAGAGTAATTTTTTTTCCTAGCCTCATTTTCTCAACCTGCCACTCATGTCGTAAGGCATGGACGGGCTACCTTTCCGTAGCCGCCGCTGTCTGTCATCCGCAAGCTTTATTTTCCTTGGGTTCTGAGAAATGTGTGGCTTTTCTTCAGCATTTTATTTGTGCTTCTATTTTTAATGGAGATTGAAAAGAGGGAACCATGTGAAAATCACGGCTCATACTATTCACATGTTGGCTGATGGCTTGTAATGTACTGCATACAATATGTGTTAACTCTGCAGAATGAGAGATTCTGGGAAAGGGAATGCCCCAGTTGTCCCCTACATCAATGCAGGGCAGAGGAGGGGAGCCATTAGGGACATAGTCTGATTTTGAGCCCATTTGGCAAGGTACCAGGAGGAACTTTTTAAAGAGGTCATCTGTATCATAGTGCCCATCCTGGACTTAAGTCTAGTTTCTCCATACCATTGGTGCAGAGAAATAAGATGCAAACGGTGCTTTGCTCCTGCTGGTTCCAAGCTCAGTAACCAAGATTGGCTTTGTAGGAGAGAATCAGAGCTTGCAAGCTTTTCTCTGGACTGGCTGAGGGGTGGTGGGAGCAGGGGGCTGCTACAAAATACCCAGACACACGTATAAGCAAGTGGCCATGCTAGTCTTTTAGAGAATAAAGAAGCAGACCTTCGAGCTCATATGCAATGCCTTCATTAGCTACCACTGGCACTTACAAAGTGTGGGATCTGGATCCCAGGGTGTGAGTATGGTGTGCGGATTGTATTGCTTCCCTAACGTTTGTATATTCCCAGTATTTGGAAAACTGCCTTCATTTTCCTGTGTGGGAAAAACTCTTGCTACCTGTATTACTTGATCTCAGACCCATAGTTGATGGTTCAGTCCGTCCTTAAGTTAAAGGAGTTTTGCTTTTCTAATGTTATAACTCTTTATCTATCAGTGTACTGCTGCAACTTGAATCATTCTTTAACTGTTGTTGGACATAAACTTATCCTGTACCACTGTATTTATTAACACTTGTATTTTATTATTGAGCATATCAATAAAAATATTAAAAAATAACAGATTGTTTTTTACCAACTTTATAGCACTTTTGTGTGTTCTTTCAACACCATGATGTATATTTATGTATAGAACAGAGAGGTATTTTTCTGGGCGTAATCTGGTTCCACACATAGCCTGAGTTTGTCCATTTTTTTTGTAAATGATGTTCATTAGCCTCTGTTCTTACATTCATGTTTCCAGGCCTCTTTGGTTTTAAATGTAAACTTACGGAGGCTGGATGGTTCAACTGGTTTTGAAGAAGCAATGAGACCACTTTCATGGACTGGGACCCTCAGTGTCCCCACCTGATCAAATATCAGATTGGTTCCTCCCTGCCCCACCCTTTCTTCGGAACCAGAAATGTTCCGGCTGTTTGCTTAGCAAGTAGAAACAAATCAGAACCCCAAAACCTGCCTAGAGCTTTGTGGGCTAAGACATTTCTGTCCCAAATCAAGTGACAAGACCCTGTAATCAAATTACATTCAGCATTACATATTTTGTATATGTTCATCCCCAGGATAAATGTGTTAAATATCAGGACATCAACTAAAAAATATGTGTCATGAGAAAGCATTTTGTTTCATCTTGTATAGCGTGTCTTTCCAACCATGCTGACTTTTCATGCCAGCCATGAATTCACAATAGAGCCCCTCCCACAGAAGAAATGTGGCTTTGAAGGACTTTGATGTTCTGCTTGTTAGATTAGACAAGTTAACCAAGAGCCACTAAGAATCCCAAATTGGCTGTAACTCGAGGATGTACAGGCATCAGTATAGTCACATGTAGATGAGCACCAGTTTAGTTTTCAGTGAAAAACACTGTTAGTCATTGGGAATATTCTTCTCCCTGACGTCATGCATTTTAATGTCACTGGTGGCAAACAGCTTTCCCATCAAATGATCTCTTACATAAGAACATGTGGGCTCCCTGCTGGCTAAGTTGTCATAATTTTAATCATAGCACAGGTTTTTCATAAAACTGAAAAACATAATTTGGTTCATTCTTCTTCAAAACAGTGGACATACTATCAACCAAATGACTGATATATGATTTAATACAAAATGACTCAATTTTAGTACAAAATGAATAAATATAAAAGTGCATTCAGCCCAAACACTGTAAGTGGTCCATCATGCCAAGTATCAGTCTAAGAGAATCTTACATTTTGTAAAACATTGACTGATACTAAAATTAAAATAATCTTAAATATTTATATATAATTGACAAGAAATGTTCTATTCTCTATGCTTTCTAAAAGGCAATGCTTATTGTACAATATATTATGATGATTTATTAAGGGCATTTGTAAATAGCATATGACAATAATTCATCCCTAAGATTCCTGCAATTATATAGTTTGATTTTTCTTAGTAGTAAAAATCACTGCTGATACAGTTCTAACGTAGACTTTTTATTGTAAATTGGCTCTTAGAGCTTTTATTTATGTCTGTTCTATCTGTAATTGTGACTCGTAACATCTGTCTGTTTGTATTTGTGCCAATTTATTCTGACAAGAAATTATAGGAAAGAGCTGTCGAAACCTCTCTTTCTTTGAGAGATGACACCGGCTGTATTGCAAGCTTTACTGGTAAAGAATTTGCTCCTAAGTGATTAAAATAAACCTGTAGAGAAAATAAGAGCTGTGATCTACAGGAGAGTAACTTGCTTAAGGTTAGCAACCATGAGGCAAAGTTTTAGTACTAGATGTTTCTCATGACCTCCCATTGGCTTCTGAACTTGAATTCACCGTAAAGGGCAATTATTTTTTTTCTGACAGGTTTTTTACCATTTAAGAGAAAAGAAAATCTGCACCTGGTTTCCATTTTACTGTACTTAATAACCTCTATGCAAAATGGAAACCAGACAGAAATGATTAAATCCGGCCCTAAATTATTATATTTTTTCCCCAACAGGAATCAATTCATTTACAGCTTTCCAGTTTTCCCAGCCTGCAAGAGGATGATAAATCTAGAAAAGATGACACTGAAAGAGAAAAAGAAAAGGATAAAAACAAAGATAAATCCTCTGAAAAACCCAAGATCAGAATGTTATCAAAAGGTGAATGTACAAATGTTTCCTTAACGTACTCAGTTGGGACACATGAAGAGGCACAGAATAGATTCTAGGTTTTATGTGCCATTCACCTCTCACCAAACTTTGCACTTAACTTTGTGTGTACGTGTGTGTAAAAGATGTGAACTTGATTTTTCCCCCATTCATGGTGTCATTATTTGTGTAGCCAGAAAGGTTATTTCTTAGGATCCCATATTCTTCTGGATTTTCATTTGGGTCTCCTAGTTTCAAAGATAAGTTTGTACAAGCCATGAATATAAATCTGCTCTTGTTTCAGCTTTATTAGTCCCATTAATTTGGATCCCAAATTAATCCATGATAGCCAGTTTTGCACCTTAACAGTCACGTTTATCTTAAAGGACAAGTAGAGCATTAACAGTTCTCCATCCATAAGTGATGTCCTCCCCAAAGCACAGGTGCATGTGTCAATGGCAATGAGAATGCACAACATTTTACCTGGTGCAGGTGAATTTGGTCTGTGCAATCCATATACTGCCACATAATATCTCACTTAAAATATATAGAGTTCTACCTCAATAAAGTGTTCCCCAAACGCCATTCCTTCTAAACCTGCAAACCTACTTTCTGGACTTCTCAAATAGTTGCCATATGTAGAATTGCACAAAACTAAAAGAAAAACAAGAAAGCAAAAGTAAAAACAAAACTAAGTTGACACAAAGGATGCCATGAATGAATGGCTTTGCAGTATACTTTCTTTTCAATAACTAAGAAAGAATAGGGCATTGGATCAGCTGAGGAATGATGCCTGCTTCCAACATTATGCTCTATAATGGCATATCTGCTTAGAATACTTGTCTTTGCTGCTGAATGTCTAAAACCCAAGATGTGCACAGAGTAAGAGGTACAGGTTCCTAAAATGGCTTTAGAAATTAGGCTTTAGCTAGTATCAGAAGATTCTGAAAGACTTGGAGATACTGGGTATCCTCCTGTATTTTGTGCTGATTCATATTTATTCTTAGAGCTTTCATTTTTTGCCTCCTCTGTTTTAAGAGTGAGAGGGTTCCATGGGATCTCACACTCCTGAAAACTCTCTCTGTGGGCTGAGATTACCCACCACATGGAGGTCGTGCCCTTGCTGATTTCAAGTACGAAATGAACCGGTGATATTTGACTCCACCCACCACCCACCCAGACTGAGCCTACTTCCCCTCCCCATTCCTGTGGCTGCAAGGTCTTCTGTACTCAGGATCTATTGGGTGTTCTCAATCCCTGAATCTAATTTTCATTCTGACAATGCACTGCCAGATTGCTCGTTTCAAAATATGTATCTTTCATACAAATAGCTTCACCTAAAATTTACCTGAGCAGGAGGGAAACGGGGAAGGTTGGGACAAACTTTTTGACTCCCCCTCCCACCACCACCATCATTCCTGACAATGTGATTGTGCTGTTTGTTTCAGATTGCAGCCAGGAATACACGGATTCCACAGGCATAGACTTGCATGAGTTTCTGATTAACACATTAAAGAATAATTCCAGGTAACTCTTAAACAAATCTCTTATTTTTAGAAGAGTCAAATGGAATTTTACCATCAGGGTCAAATAATCCAAATACTTCTAAGGAAGTAGTAGTAAAGTTCTGACACCTTTTCTGATGTCTCAAACTACCTCTTGTATTTTCTCTTTTCTGTTAATAGTTTGTATGTGCACTATTGGTAGGTAGTCTTAATGCCCGGGTGAATAAATCATAGTTTACAAATTCTGCTTTCCTGGTCACAAAGATATACTGATTAATGGGGAAAATAGGGGAGAAAGTCAGTATCAAATAAACCAATTATACTTCAATGCAGTTATATAACCATCTATTTGGGTCTTGCTTTGTTTTAGCTTCCAGTTAATTTTAAATATACAATTTATTTGATGTGTTTTATGGGCATAATACCTTGCATAGCCTAACTAATATTAAAACTGTAAAAGTTTTAATGTTACAAAATACTTAATCAATGAGATGAGAAATCATTTTATATAGAATGATATGTATTGGACAACATATTCCACAGAAGGGTTAGATGCAGGTTTGGAACCACATGCATTAAAGCAGCCTGTTCACACATCCAGATAAACTTTTCAGGTCTTTGGCAATGGAAAGTACATAAAAATCTTTTCGTTTTCATATTTGTTTTGCAGGGACAGGATGATACTCTTGAAAATGGAGCAGGAAATTATCGATTTCATTGGTGACAACAAGTATGTTGAATTGCAATGCTGGTTAATTTACGGGGTGTATCTTAGTTTGGTATTTAGATTTAATTATTCATTCTGGACATATCTGAGGATAGATAAAGCATTGTTTAGTATCTTTGATGATTGGCTACATGGCGATTTTATCGGAGTTAGGAAGTACAAGCTGATGGGAATCGTTGCTTGGACCGTGTGAACTCCTGCCTGTTAAATTCCTGACAAAGTGGCTGTAAACAGGGGGCCACTGATTAGCATAGAGCTGCTTTAACAAGAAGCGACCCTTTTCATTTATATTATAGTTTTTTAATGGGCTCCAGCTGGCTGCAGTCAGTTATGCCTGGAAATGATTGTGCTGCCGTCAGTGTAAGCCGTGTAATGACACATCTCCAGATAGGCATCTGCAGTCCTATTATGTCACATCATTTGTCCTGTGCCTGGCTCCGTTGATCAGGTGTCATGGACTAAAATAGAACGCTCTCCAACAGACAGCCCATGCCCTCTGGTGAGAAAAATGTGCCCCACTGAAACAAAGATATTTGTTGTCACTTAATCGATAAGTGTACAGTAAGTGGAAAATTTGTCTCACAATGGGAACATCAATTGATGCCAGGGATGAAGTGGTTTGGGTGAAAGAGAAGTGGTTTTGTGTGTGTGCCTGTGCAATGTCCTTCGGGCCAGAAACAAGAATTCTGATTCCACTTTTCTGGGTGCTCTCTTTTAGTAACCATTATAAAAAGTTCCCCCAGATGTCATCCTATCAGAGGATGCTCGTCCACCGCGTGGCGGCTTACTTTGGGTTGGACCACAATGTGGATCAGACAGGGAAGTCTGTCATCATCAACAAGACCAGCAGCACAAGAATGTAAGCCCCATGTCTGCACCTGTTTGGCATTTTCTTTTTCTCTTACAGATTCATTTGTAAAGCACACTGTATAAAATTCCAAGCATATGGCATTTAAAATGCGCAGTGTGATTTATCGCTTGTCCTTATCAGCGGTAGAGTGGCATTTATCTGTAGAAGATTGTCTGAGGACCAGGCAAGTTTCTAAAATTCAGGCAGTAAAGTGGATTTATTCTCTGATCTTTAACATAGCTCCTGAAACATATTTCTTTTTTTTTCCATCAGCACTCCATGTGATTGTAAACAAATCCATGGGACATTTTATGTCAAAATATAACCCAAGTTAAAAATGGCAGACGTTTTAAAACAACAATGACATATGCAGAATAGTTGTCTTTTTCTTTCTTCTGCTGGTTTGTAGACTTCTGTCTTATTGTAGCTTCTAAAGTAGCAAAAATCCCACCTCTAAGACCCAAATCTTTACTTACTACCTGTGTGACCCGAAACAAGGCATTTAAAAACCTGCCTTCCCAGTTTTCTTCACTTGTAAAATGAGAGTTTTGAACTGGATGATATCTAAGCTCTAGGTCTACAAGGAAGATAGTGGGTTTTGGTACTTAAAAAAATTGTTTGCTTCCATCTTAATACCTTTCTATGGTCCCACTGGGTCATCAAAAAGCATGAAATGAGTAGTTACTTGCCCTGGAAATTTGGGGATGTCTTTCTTGATCCCAGGTATCTTTTGAATACAGAAAAAGCCACTTTTATAAGCAAAATACATATTAAATAGAAAAAAACTATCTTAAGCCTTCTCTTAAAACATTTGCATGTTATAATTTTGTTGTTTTATAGTGTGCTTGGTACCTTGTGTAAATTGCAGTTTTTAAGAATGCTATGTCCTTGAAGTGAACTTTCATGTCAAGCTAAGGAGCATGGTTAAAACACTTCATTTTCTGCTCATCAGATGTTGGGATATGGTTAGAGATGGTGATGAGGCGCTCTCTCTACTCAAGGCCCAGTCTGTGTGCAGCAGAACTAGAGAGACAGTCAGAGCGCAGACCTGGGGGATCTGGGATGGAGCTGGGCTGTTATCTCAGGGACAATGAGCACTGCTGTTCTCTGGGCCTCAGATTACTTATTTATCCTCAGGGGAGTTTGAAGTGGATCCTGGTTAAGAGCCCTCGAAGCCTCAGAATCATTGGGTCTTGTGGTCATTTTCTACTTTACTGGCAGAACACATTATAAAATTTATCAGCTGCCCATTTTCTCTGATAGTTGGCACGTGCACTTCCTATTTTGAACACTAATAAAAATGAAAAGCCACTGTCCTTTAATTCATCTTTCCTCTCCATCACATAGTCCTAGTGATCGCTATTGTCATTTTTGATTCTCCATTCTGGGTTTTCTATGACTTTTTGGATTCCACAAGGCAGGGAATGACACATTGATGGTGAAATAGGCAAGCAATTAACTATTTTATTTTAATTTGTCTATCTCCTCTTTCTCTATAAAGCCATAACAGAAAAGCCTATAGGCCAAGTAGACTGGTGCAGTTTCAACTGGAACAGATAATGCATTATTTTTAATGCATACTGATGTTGCAATCCCATAGTCTCGAATGTTGGTACCCATGTTTGACACCTGTTCTCTCGCAGAATTGACTGCTTTCTGGTTAACAATGAATGGAGTTTTTGAGTTCATCTGCCATGTTGTGTTTCCAACCCTTAGTTCAAGTTCCCTTTCCCTCCATATGTTGCCAGAAATAGGTTCCATTCTGTAGCACTTTTAGATGTTTTCTACTGGAATTCTTTGTTCCCTGTCAGGTTGGGTGTCAAAACCAAATGAGCCTCTTGGAAATCTGGGGCAGACATATTAGGGTCTCACTATTTTGGTGCCACAAATGATGTTTATAATATATTTACTCTCTATAATGTTGCTTTGTTTCATATTCAGGATTGAGGCTAAAAATGGGAATAGTGATTTTATTAAAAATATTTACATGCAATAAATATAAAAACCTGTTTTTATATGAGTTTTTCTTCTCTTTGTCTCTCTTTCTGATCTACATTTTCTCTTGTTTATTTTTCTACGCATTTAGCCAGGAGCAGCTCATTGTTCTTTTACTAGATCATTATTTTCAGCTTCCTCTCTTCATCTTCATTCTAGAGAAAGGATTTGTGTTCAGGGAATATCATTTGGAGACTAGAAACCATCTGCTTGAGCTGGCATCGTCCAAAGGGCCAGCATCGGTCCCCTGCAAAGCCTCATGTGCACCTGAGTGTCTTTGCATCTGTCAGAGTAACTGTTGAACCAGTCTCAGATCATTTTCAAGTTAAAAGGTTGTCATCTTGAATATTTTTTCTTTTGTCTTTCACATCTACCCCTGGTCATTGCCTTAAATCCCCTGCTCAAAAAGTACACAGCAAAGAAAGTAAATAACAAATCTACCAAAGGAGACTAGTTACAAGTCCCAAACCCCATGAAACAATAGTGGCCCGAAGGCAGAGGCTTGGGGCAACACCATGAGAGGCCAGTGCTCAAGACTCAACGCCCTGATTGCTGAGATGTGTGGACCTAGGTGTTTACTTGGTGTGATAAGTGGTATTAGTGGCTAAAGTGCTTTGCCTGTCTGTTCTGGAAGGGGTAATTAACTGAGCTGGCTTTTGGATGAATCACAAGAACCATAAAACATGTTCTAGTATAAATGAAGCTTCATGCTAGGTGAAGCAGTTGAGCCCAGGTGACTTTAAGAATCTTGAAGTGGTGGACAATTATTGCAATAAGAGTCAGGATGGTGGATTCTTCCCCTTCTCAGTGAGCAGCAGTACATCAGAATCACTGGATACCTATTCTGCTTTGTTTCCTGATGAGACTAAGGTTTAAAGTAGGAATCTTTGCTCTTTGACCCTTAGGCATTTCAATTCCCAAGGTGGTTGATTGCATTTATTAAAACAAAGAGTAAAAAAACCAAGCTTCCTCCTATCTTTGTTGTATTCCTTTCTTTGGGGCTGGGGATATGAGTAGCACCAGAATAAACTGAGGAACATTCTGATATGGATGCTCACTTAACAATTCTCTGAAGAAGACCAAACACCTCTTGGAAATCCAAGGGTGGCTGGTTGGCATCCTGTTGTTGCTAAATGTGATCAATTTACTGTGTACTTTTTTGAGGGATAGTGTTAGAAATCATCTGCTTGAAGTCAAAGGTCCAGAAACCTAACTCAGAATTGCATTACTCTCAGAAAAACCAATGAAGTTTTATTTACTGAACAACTTTAATCAATATTCAGGCTCAAAGTAAGACTTATCTGTTAGCATAGGTCCAACTCTATCTCATTGCTCTCCAATATTATATTTTCTCATATTATTATTCTCACATACTTCAGAGATGATAAGTTTCTAAGGATGAGAAAGGTTAATCATAGGAATATATTGTTGTATTCCTTTCCCCACTTGAAATTATTTATGAGACTTTGAGTGTCAGATGTGTAAATTATCACTGAATTTTAAAAATGAAACATGTGTGCATGTTTTGTAATGTTAACATGCTTAATATAACATTTTTAAAAGATTTTCCATGGAGTAATGATACTTTTAAATTTTTTATTTATATATCTTACAACATTCTAGGTAGATAAACCCAAACCATTTTACAGGAGTAAAAACTGAATCTCACATCTTCGTCTCTCTTACCTACTCATCTCACAAAGCCCAAGACTGAGACCCGCCTCCCCTGGCGCTCAGCCGTGGCTCTTCTCTTAAGAAAACAAGAGGTAATCTTCAGAGAATCAGTTCTCTGAAGCAATGCCAGAAGCAAAAAGAACCCCCAACACTATTCTTTCGCAAGTACCCATTGGTTTCCTTACAACATCCTAATGTGTATTTAATTACTTTAAAAATTGAACAGAAAACTCAATTCAATGTTTACACTGAGATGGTTGTTAAAACTATGGCAGCAACAGAAGTCCAGAACCACAGAAGCCACTGGATTGGAAACTGTCCTGGCATACTTGGAAGTGAGATAGAACCCATGTTCTTAACACTTGCCAAGCAAAAAGTACTTCTCAGGTGTTCAGCATGGGGCTGTCAACAAAAGAAGTATAGATTATTGAACATGCCCATCTTCTGCTTATAGTTTATTTGAGGATCCAAGGTAATTTTAGTCAGGACTTTATGGGGGGGTGTAAATTGATTATCTGTGTTATATAGTTTGGGACAATTTAGAGAAAGGTTCGCTATATATATATGTATATATATGTATATATATGTGTGTGTGTATGTATATGTATATATATATAAAATAAAATAATATAGGCCATGAAGGAAAATTTAGAAACTATTCAAAACATAAGACTATTTTAATTGTATATAATCCAGTAAACTAGATACAAACCACTTTTAATTGTATATAATCCAGTGACTAGAAGCAAATTCATAGATAAACATATATATAAAACAAATTCATATATGCATATACACACACACACACACACACACACACACTCACATATATATATACATAGTATTGCCCTAAACATACAGTAGTTGTGGAGGGAGCAAGACCACTGTGGCTGGGTTCCTGTGTCTGCAGCTGTGCCTGCTGTAGGCAGCAGGGTGACCCTCAGTTCCTGACAGCATTGTGGCTTCTACATCATGGAATTTGGCAGTCATTTCTGCACTTGTACCTCAAGAAAAGTTTTAGGGCTTCCTTGTAGGTGAGAGCCTGGTTGTATACAATGAATAGCTGGTCTTGTGTCTTACTAATCTTAAAATTTCTGTTAGTGGAGAGGTCATTAGCATATTGCTATGGCTTCAGAAAAGAGGTAATTGAGGCATCAAATAGGTAAAAAAGCTCTGGTTTATTGGTCAAAGGTGCCTGGTTTCCACTTAGTGGTATACAGAAATGCTAGACTGTAATTATTTATATGAATCTTCAAACAATAAATTGGAACCTACCAAGAGAAGCAGATACCTGCCTAATATGCTTTATCTTACAACCAGACTCCTTCCAACTGCTCAGC